TCCCCCATTGCCAACTGTTAACATAATTATAGAACAGAGTTACATTTTTAACAGTTATTCAAGCTCAGTTTATTAAAATTAATTTTAAACGTTTTATAACAATTTTAAATAGTGCGTCAGAGCCACCAGTCGAGTACAATGGGTTAATTGCTTTCCGAATTATGTTAATTAATATTCAACAGGCGGGTCGATTTAATCGATACAATTTATTCGACGATAAATTGATACTTCTTAATCGGATAAACGTTAATATTAAGATTGTTCTAAATAAAGCAACTATTCCTTCAAATTTATTTGCATAAGTTGTAAAATTGTGTAAGCAAGAAATTGTGTAAGAAAATAAGTATCATTCAGATTCGATACGTTCAGCTGTAATTATTGGAATTGCTAAAATAAAATGATCAGGGTCCGATGAAAGGGTCCGTATTCTATAATGATGATAACAAGAAGTTGCCGTGTCTCCTTTGTTAGCTGATATCACCGCCCCCGAAACGTGAAAATAGTTGCGAATTTCTCGCAGTATCATACCTTGTTTTAGTCTCTATAACAAGACAAATTTGACTATATAGAACAGAGCATGATGTACGGTGACTTTGAAACATAAACTTTGCATAAGTTTGACGAGTAAACTTCTGGTTTATAGAAGTTTCGGTAAATTAACGGAGAATGAAGGCGTGTGTGCAGGCTGGGTCCTGGCTTATTAATCAGCTAATTATATTCTGTTCATATTTCCAACCGTGAAATTGTCGCGAACAATACGTTGACTCTGCTCGAAAACGGACTGAACAAAAAACGCCTATAAAGCGTGATTTCTCTTTTTAAAAGGAAAATCAAGTGATTAATTTTCGTATATAAATTTCGTGAAAACAGTGGACTCGTATAAAAATCAATGAACATTGAACCATGAAAATAGTGACACTAAGTTTTTACTTGCGTCAAGGAGTTATTAACACTAGATTTACGGAGCACAAGAGACAACTGTTTCATATTAGTTTATAAAAGTAACAATCAGGCATTTATTCGGATCTTGAACAAGCGTTGTTGTAACATTTTCCGTAAATAATATATAAATTGAATAAACAGGACACAAAATAAATGTGCTTTTACGATATGACTAATCGTAGATTAAAGAATTAGTGACCCGCCATTTTGAGGGAGTCCATGAATCTAGCGTCAACGCCGTAAAACAGGCATACTTTTCGTTCGATTTAACGATCTCGCGATTTAGTTTTCAAGGATATGTTACATACTTTTAAGAAATTACCATCGAGTGATTGATCTCGTGAAATTTTCATAGAACTCAGGCAATATGAAATTTCCATGGAAAGGCGTGTCTCTCTCTCTCTCTTTGAATTCTTTTAACAAGAACTCGGTCGAATGAATCTAAAACGGTTCTTCCGGTACGACCCACGCAATTTTCTAGTTTTACTTTAAGCATCCACCGGTGAATACATATTAATGGGTTCATCTCGTATAATTAATGTGCTCAGACCGTTCAGCCATATATAGGTCAGAACGGTTCTGACTCGGAGATCTATGCATCACGCGCGTTTCAATGCAACGAATAATACCCGCATGAATAATCAAATAAGTCTGTTAGAACAAGAGGGCGGGTACGCAAAATGCGTCTATTATAATAAAGTGGTGATCGTTTTAAAGCACCGGACGAACAGCTTCGAAACTTTTGATATTTTTTTAAATCTTAAACGCGAAATTGCTTTTCATTGTCTGTGCACGTGCACCAGCTTCTAGCACAAGGGTTAAATTTGACGATTTTAGTTGTTTATTTATTTATTCTGTACTGCTTAATAATATTTATTTATTTATTCTATACTGCTATAACTTATTCGTAATTTATTGCGAATATTATATTATTTATTCTATACTGCTATAACTTATTCGTGATCTATTGCAAATTATTATTTACTATTTATTTATTTACTCCATACTGCTATAACTTATTCGTGATCTATTGCAAATTATTATTTACTATTTATTTATTTACTCCATACTGCTATAACTTATTCGTGATCTATTGCAAATTATTATTTACTATTTATTTATTTACTCCATACTGCTATAACTTATTCGTGATCTATTGCAAATTATTATTTACTACTTATTTATTTACTCTATACTGCTACAACTTATTCGTGATCTACTGCAAATTATTATTTACTATTTATTGATTTACTCTATACTGCTATAGCTTATTCGTAATTCATCGTAAATTATTATTCACAATATCATCATTTAAGTTATTTACGATGCATTTTTGTGGTCAATCCGAGCGCCCAATTAGGAAGAAATTACTGCACCGATGTCCATTTGGAATCTCATTTTCCCTCGATTTCGATATCCGCGGCGCACCGAATTAAACCAGCGCGATGTAACGAAAGCGGTCCAACAAAATGAAACCGCGAAAATCCATAAAAGTCTTCGCCGTTTAAACGGTCAACATCCCGTGAATTAGGGCTCGCCGGCTGAATAATGCATTTATACGTATAATGAATGGGAAAGTAAACGAACGAACCTTTGAAGCTCCGTGTGCGTGTGCGTGTGTGTTCGTGTTTTCTTTTTTTTTCTTTTCATTTCAATGCCGCTCGAAACAACGAATGGCATGAAGCTGTCGCACGCAACGACAATGCACCGAGTGTTGCCACATTGATTTTACACCGCGAATATAAACGCCTGGGCCGGCGCAGATAGAGAGAAAGAGCGAGAGAGAGAGAGAGAGCGAGAGAGAGAGAAAGAGAGAGAGAGAAAGCCGCCGGTGCACGCGGCCAACGCTGGCCGAAGCGGGTACGAGGTGGAGAGAAATTTGATTTATCGTCGATTACGATCGGTGATTGGATTCCAACGGGTTCCTGTGTGTCGCGCGGTGATGCATGACTAACGCCGATAACGAGTAATGTCACTATTCGACGGCCGGCCGTACTTATTCCGAAAAATACGCGCCCCGTTAAGATTCCGCCGATCGACGGGACCACAGTGATGTCTCCCATACTGACGCTCGGATTGTCCACTAAAATGGGTAATTCGGGAAGTGGAGATACGATTATTCGAGCCTCGTTTTTCTAATTGTGGACAATTTATAACTATAAAAATAAACCGCAAGGCTCGAACAATCGTATCTCCTCTTCCCAAATTGTCCATTTTTGTGGCCAGTCTGGACGTCAATTAGAGAGACATTGCTGTAATAACAATTCGTGGCTCCCTTTTTGCATTCGATAACAGCCATCGCTCTCATTGGCGTAGAAATGCAACTATTTTTGCTTCGCCCCGATAGACGAACAATTCGCATCGGCACGATTTTTCTGAAAAATAACAAGCCCAAATTGAACAGAAACGTCCACGACGGAGAAGGTAGAACGATTTAGAAATGTTTTTCCTCGCGCGGAAAATTGAAACTCCGCTTTCATCGCCGACAGAGCGAATTCTGAGAATAATAATGTCGGCACGCGTTGTATGCAGTTTTAATCCGATTTTTGGAGAACGTAATTTAGGGAACAGGAATTTGTGTTCCGACAGGACAATGCAGCGGCGGTCCACGTTACCGAACATTCTCGCGAATGGTTTAAGTCACGGGACGTATCCCGGAATGTACCTTAGGGAATGGAATGGCCCGCGTGCAGTCCCGATATGAACTCCATGGAAAATTTATGGGGCATAATGGCCGGAATTATATATGCCAATGGTGGTCGATTTCAAGTAATCGATGATTTCGAAGAACAAATCGAACGGAAGAAATTCAAATTAAAAAGGAACAGAAAGAGAAATTCCTAACGTGACAATTAATAAATAATAATCAACAATAACGATAATAATAATAATAATAGTAAGAATAATTAATCCCAATAATTAATCATTGAAACTGCTTCGATGTACAGTAATAATAGACAACATTTGCTTCAAGTTTTCATCGTTTCTCGAGGATTCGTTCGAGCAAGAGATCGTTAAATTATTAATAGTGTAAATTTCTCGTGGAATTGTTCGGAGATCGGAATTGAAACCGGTAGATATGACAATGCTCAGTCGCGATTTTTTTAACCTCGCGTTATTATTCAGAGATACAGTAATGTCTCTCTAATTGATGCCCAGATTGACCACAAAAATGAACAATATGGGAAGAGGAGAAACGATTATTCGAGCCTCGCGGTTTATTTTTATAGTTATAAATTGTCTACAATTATAAAAACGAGGCTCGAATAATCGTATCTCGTCGTCCCAAATTATCCAATTTAGCGTAAAATCTGAGCGTCGGTAAGGGAGACATTACTGTAAGTACAAATCAATCATAAACGCCGGTAAAAAAGAATGAAAAACCAGTCGTTTCGACCGGTTTGCCATTTCCGGTGTTAAACAACGCAATTTATAACCTATTCCGTGCCTCTACCCTTCCGAGAAACACCAACGAAGTTATCGCAACGAATAATAACAATGTCAAGGGAGAACGTCGCGAGATAAGACAGGGCTACGCGAACGCAGCCATAATCTCCGAACAGGGAGGAGAGGCTTCATTTTCGTTTGAAATTCTCAGCGAGAGGATCCTCTTCTGAAAAAAGAGCCGGGCCGCTTAAAAAATCACGAGGGCGAGAGACGTAAGATATTCACTTTGTCCGACGTGTCAAAAATTAAGCGCCGCTTTATCCGCTTTCACTTTTCCACCCCCGCGCGTTTCCCGGGCGGCGTCCTCTCACTCTACTGCCGGCGGATCGGGTCGAGAGGGCGAAGGGGTGGGTGGTGGTGGTTCAAATCAGGGCCCGGAATCGCGGCAGAAATTGCTAGAAAATCCCTCGGTCGATGAAAACGAAGGGAAAAGTCAAGAGCGAAAAGCGCGGCGCGGGCGACGGCGACGGCGACGTCGACGGCGAGACGACCGTTTCATCAGACGGCTGCTCGGCCGTGAAACGGCGACGTCTCCGCCGCGTTTCCGCGCGCTTCCACGCTTCTTATTGCGCGGCTGGGTCAAGGCAATATGAGGTGAACGCGAAACTCACCGAACGATCGCCCAGATTGCGCACCCTGCAGTGCAGGTGCGCGGTCTGCCCGACGGTCGTCGTCGTCTCCCTCTTCGTCGTGTTGTCGAAGTACGGCTGGCTAAAGGGCTGCTCCCAGTAGGAGGACTGATGGTGCTCCACCACCGCTCCGCCGCTCTTCACCGCGCATTCTGCAAAAATAAAGCATTCCCATGACGATTTCAGACGCGTGTTACCCGCGGCGCGCCACGTAACGTAAACGCGGCTGTGCCGACCGTGCACGCCGTCGCTTTGACGGCCGTGCCCTCCTCGCGAACGCGTCGGAATATTCGTAAAATTCGCGGGTATGTTTTTCGTTCGATCGAATTGTATTCGTAAAATTGCGGAACGACGAATTGCCTTTTCCCTGTTTTCGCGCGTGGTTAACTTGGTATTTGGCGAATTCGAAATTTAGATTAAGAGAATAGATATATGTATTAAGTAATAGTATATTAGAAAATAGAAAATGTTACATTTTGTTAGTCTTTCATTCTTGTTATTTTTGAATGGAGGTATTTAATTCGTCTTATTCGATGGATATGAGGTTAATTATGCGCGAGAACGAGACGAAGGCACAGTGATTGGTCACCCCACAGTAACTGGTTCTACTACCCTACTGTATCCAGTTGAAATTGTGAAATCGTGGAGTCACGAATTGCTGTGCCTCTTCTTTATTTTTGGGCGTGATTAACTTTCTACTTATCTAATAATATGATAAATATAATGTGTAATAAATATAATATATAATAAATATAGTATATAATGAATATAACATATAATAAATATAATATATACTAAATATAACATAAAATAAATATAACACAAAATAAGTATAACATATAATAAATATAGTATATAGTGAATATAACATAAAATAAATATAACATATAATAAATATAATATACAATAAATATAATATATAATAATATTGCACAAAAATTTAACGACAGCCTCATATTGTTCTCGATTCGCCGAGACCGTTGAGAGAGAATAAACAAGCTTTTGTTTAACTTCGATTCCTTGTAATTAACACAGAATATCGTCGATTCGCACGAAGATGCAGAGATTGTGTGGAAACGACGAAGATAATGACAATGGTGAATGCTCGTTTCGGGGTAATTACTATGAAAGGTTAATCGGTGAACAAAGAACACGGGATCAGAGGCAGCGAGAATTTCATCATCGATAATTAATGAAACAATTTCATTTCTTGGAAAATGAAACGAATTTAAAATATCGACGAATATTATTTACTCCGTGTAACAAACGAACAGATGCACCGAGACTGTAAAATGTAATTGGATATTTCCAATTTCCGAACATTCTCGATGTCACAGCCGGTAAAATTCAGCGAACAAGCGTCTTATAGAAAGCTTATAAAAATCGTATAAAAGTCGTATAAAAATCGAGTTAAACTCGTCATGAAATTTGAAGATTCTGAAAATGACAATTCGTTGTTCATTTTTTACACGAAGAAAACGTCTGAGAAAACGTCGCAAATGTAGAAAATATGATTTCGTGCAGAGCATCTACCATCATATTTGAAGATTCGGCAATGACGTGTACAACAACCCCATAAAATTTCATGTACGTCCTTCGACATTGTTTTATTTCTTGTTTCATTTTTAAATGAAAAATGTGGCCACTGTCCACTCTATGACAATATATACGGTGCACCATGAGAACATTCCGCACGGCGGAATTTACTCATCGTTTCGGTATCATAACGGAGAACAAAAAAAATGGGATCGCGTACAAAATTTTTATGGGGTTTCGCGCGACAAAATTATTCCGATATATTAATTTTCGGAGTCTTTTTCCCCATCCGTAGCAGTTTTCAAGAAGAAAGAAAAAAGACGCCGCTATATATATATATATATATATATATATATATATATATATATATATATACGCGCCGTCCAAAAAAAAGAAAAAATAACGCGTTGCAAAACGTAGCTTCGAGCACCGAAATGGATCCAAGTTAATCGTCGCGCGATACCTTTTCGCGAAATTACAATAGGTCAAATATCGACATTTTTAAACGGTCGGATGTTTCGTGTTTCGAAATACCTTCCGCAGCGAGCAACGCGCGCGCGCGCGCGTTCTAAAATTACCAACGGCGATGGACTCTGGACGAGCACGCCAAAAAAATTCATGGAGTATCGCCGCCTTTTGTTTTAATTTGAACCGCACGTGCTCCGTTTTATTGTTGCTTCGATCCGCCAGAGGGGTGGGGGGATGATATTACACGGCGGCATACGACGTAGAAATGCAATACAGAATTACCATTTCGGTTGCGTTTTCTGTATTCAAACATGCAGATTTAATAAAATATATTCCTTCGCGGCGCCGATATAACAAAGAGCTTTCTTGAACGGGAATCCATGAAATTGATATTACGCGGTGTTTTATGGGCCCGCGGGTTTCATGCGAATTGTCGTCGATTTCGTTTACATTCGGAAACGTTAGGAAAGACGCACGACCGTCGCTTTGCTCCTGGTTTCGCTCGCGAACTCGCGACTTCGGCGAAAAATCTACTGGAACTATTTGTAAAATTGTGTTATTTCGTTGGACCCGTCGAATTCGTTTTCGTGACTTATTTCTCTGATAAACGCGTAAATCCTGCATTCGTGACAGCTGTGCGACGTTTTTCTTCACGGATACGAATTTTCTTTGGGTATTAGAAGCAGTCGGATTTTTGTCCAGAATTTTGACTCTTCGATTTCAATTTTATGCGATTTTTATTTATTATTAGCTGTTGATGGTAATGAAATTTTATTTAATTTCTGTTTCAACATTTCGTCGAGGAAATTGCGAATTTCTGCAACTATTCTCAATTCGGACAGAACTCTCTATAATCTTAATTAATTTCAATTAATTATTCATACTGTTAGTAGAATATCGCCAATTCTAAGTAACAATTAATATCAAAAGACATTTTCTTTTCCTCTTTAACATCAGCAGCACAAATCAATTAAAACTTTGTTCATGGTTATTAGATACTATTCTCAATTCAGACAGAACTCTCAATAATCTTAATTAATTTCAATTAATTTCGACTTGTAATCATTGTCATAATGTTACTAGAATATCGCTGATTCTAAGTAACAATAAATATCAAAAGACATTTTCTTTCTCTCTTTAATATCAGCAGCACAAATCAATTAAAACTTTGTTCATGGTTATTAGATATATAACATTTTTAATTTGATCAAGAATACGGTAGAAAAAACTGTTTGAAGCTTCTCGAAACTTTTTCACTGCATTCTAAACTGCATCTGAATTTCGATTTTTCGTGCACACGGTTCCGGCGATTGAATATATTAAATATAATCGGAAGAAAATGATGCGAAACGGTTACGCGGCGAACATTATCATGCGCTCCAACCGAACATTATAGTTCCAGACAGATGCTTCCGTCCGCATCCGACAAACACCATTGTCAGATTTTTGACAGATCAGCGACCGCGTGCGGGAAGCAGCGGAAAATCGCGGAGGGTAGACAATAGCCTTGGCAATCGCAAATGTTTACAGAAAAATCGATCGGACAGCGGCCCGCGATTCGATATTATGCGAGCGTGTGCGCGGCGCTTGCTTCGCAACGAGAGCGAGTGACTGGCATATTGTTTGGCAAATAAGGAGAAACGTCTGCCGTTTTTATAACGAGTCGAATAATATTTTCAATTCGTTTATTAAAATAACAGCGGCACGGATCCCGAAGATTTCAAGTTAAATATTTCGATAAGCTCGGATATCGTGGGTTACGCGCGCCACGTATTTCATATTTTTCTCTTTTACAGTGCAACCCGTATTATTGCAGAAACGTGCAAAATAATTAATCCTGTGTGTATTATGGCGGAGATGTATTCGTAGTTTTAATTACTACATCTTTTATAACACGTTGAAAATGGGGAAAATGAGGTATTTCAAGTGCAATTTCCATTAGTTCTTTCGATCAATTTGTGGTCAAATATATTCAAAACAGCGGCGTTTAAGAAATAGTTTATTAAATTGAATTTGATTATTCTTAATTCATTCTCTATTCTAATTTCGACTTGTCATTATTGACGTAATGTTAGCAGCATCGGAATAGCGACAAATTGTGTGCAACAATTAATATTACAAGAAATTTTCGAATTTCGTAAACTTGCGACAAAATCAATTATTTATTTTAGTATTGAATAATTAAATAATTGATTATGTCACTTATATAAACAAGGGTGTTTCAATTATAATTATTATATATATTATTGTATATAATTACTGTACTTAACTAAGATATTTTGGTATATAATAATTATCTTAGTTAAGTACAATAACTGTATAGAATAATATATCATAATTATGATTGAAACACCCTTGTTTATATGAGTAATGTAACGCAAGGCAAGCTAATACAGTGCAATGTAATGGAATGAAATGTAATCGATCGCAATGTAAGGCAATGTAATGCAACGCGATGCAACGCGATGCAACGCAACGCAATTTAATATAAAATAATGTAACGTAACACGATGCAACGCGATTTAATGTAAAATAATGTAACGTAACATCGGTCGTCAACAACGACCAAACGAATAACTAAAAAGAAGCAATTACGATGATAATTATCTCCTAGATTGCATTAGGCGTGCAGAAGTTTTCGCTTCGAATGCCGAATGGTCCGAAGTTACGGATACATCCTACTATTTTTCGCGACTATGAAACAGTATAAAGTTTCGCGACTACAAATTCGACGGAGTTCGTAATCTCGATTCAATTAAAAGATAACCATCGGTCGAGAGAGCGCAGTCTTTTAGATATGTTTCCACGTTCTTATCGATTAACCTCGCGCGCGCTTCCCGGTTCCGTTCAATTAGAATTTTCCTTTGAAGCTTTATCTTCTACATTTATCCGGCATATTTCTCTATTGGCGGAAAATGTTTTCAGTTATCTTACGGTGTACCGAATGTCCTCTCTCTCTCTCTCTCTCTCTCTCTCTCCCTCCCTCCCTCTCTCTCGTTCCTTCTCTCTCTCTCTCTCTCTCTCCCTCCCTCTCGTTCCTTCTCTCTCTCGTTCCTTCTCTCTCTCTCTCTCTCGTTCCTTCTCTCTCTCTCTCTCTCTCTCGTTCCTTCTCTCTCTCTCTCTCTCTCTCTCTTTCCTTCTCTCTCTC